GGCGGCCGGCGGCGTCGGGCGCGAGCCTCCCCGGGCCGCTCGTCTCCGCCCGGCAACACGTCGCGTTGATTTGAAGCACGTCCCGCTCGTGCTCGCTCAAGGAGTCGCTCAGTCCGGCGACGGCGCCGGCCAGGCCCGCGACGCGGTCTCGGGTGTCGGACAACTCCTTCCGGAAGCGCTCCGCGCTCTCGGAACGTCCGGCGTTGCCGGCCGATTCTCTTTGGACGGTTTCCAGCAAGCGCCGGAGCTCGTCCGTATTCGCGCCGACGTCCGCGCGTAGGGCGTCCAAGTCGTCGCCGTGGCGACGCGGATCCTTCCGAATGATATCCGGACCCTCGGGCGAGGGCGAGGAACTTCCCTCGGCGACGGTAGTTTCCGAGCCCGAGCACCCCGCCGAGCACAACTCGCCGACGGCGTTGATCTTGTCGTCCAAACCCCGGAGGAGGAACTTATTGTTGTCGACCTGCGCCCGCACGGCATCCACGGAGTCTCCGTACGCGCCCGGGAAGGAGTTGTTGCTCATTTCCACCAGCATGCCGGTGAACTGGTCCTCCATGGCGTCGAGACGCTCGTCCACAACTTGCCTGAGCGACGCCGCCTCTTCGGCGATGATCCGCGTCAGCTTCTCTTCAACGTAGAAGCAGTGAATCTCCGCGTTTTGCTCGGTGACGTTCAAGCGGGCCTCCAGTTCCTCCATCAGCGGGGCCGAGCGGTCGGCGTCCTCCCGAGGCTCGGACAAGCGTATGAGCTCGTTGTCGATGCGAGCGTTCAAAACGCGGTAAGCCTCTTTGATGCGCTCGATGGCGAGCCACACATCTTTGCGGTCCTCCTGCTTCTTCGCGGGGTCCGTCTGCCGCTGAGTTCGCGACGGCCCGTCCGCGACCGTCATGTCCGCCCGCGGCGCCCGAATCTCTTCCCTGAGGTCGGCCTCCTTGTTGTCCGCCGCTTTGTCGCGGCCGTCCTCGCGGGTCTTCTGCGAGGTCCGGATCTTGCTATCGCACGCCGCTAGGATCTCGTCCGCTCGTTCCCTCGTCGTCCGCTCCAGTTGGTCCTTCAGCTTTTCGACTTTTCCGTCGATGTAGCCCTGCACGACGTCGAGCTCCATCACGGCCGGAGCCTGCGATTGCGAGGCGTCCATCAGGACGCGAATCTGGCCCTCGTGGCTCGTCACGGACCCTCGCAGGTCTTCCAGCAACTCCTCCTTGCTTTTGAGGATGTCGTCGATGTCGTCTAAGCGGCCTTCGATTTTTCCCAAGACCCGGTCTCCGGCCAGGCCGCCCCTGGACGCCTGGTGGCCGTCCAGCACGGCGGGACCGTCCTCGGGGCCGGGCACCGCCGCGCCGTCGGGAGGCCGCATGTTGTTGAAGAGGGTCATCAACATGGTCTCGGTGTCCTCCCGCAGGTCGGCGCGGAGGTCGGCGCCGAGCCCCTTTAAGGCCGACTGCAGGTCCAGGACCGTCCGGGAGAGGCGCTCAACTTGGCCTTCCAGAAGGCGCACCTTGTCGTCGGTCTCGCGATGGCCCGTCTCTCTGCGCTCGGCCCCTGAAAGGAGCGAACGCCGTCATGCCGTGCCAACAAATCACCTCGATTGACGCTAAAAAGGGCCGTCCGTCTTACTCTGCGTGTGTCTGTTGGAGTATCCGCTACTCGAAGGGCCGTAGGGCTGGGTTCCTTGTACCGGGATGTGATGTTGCGGCGTGGGTTTTAAGTCCGTGCAGCCAGGTCCTTGGTAGCCCGGACAGCACCGCCACTCCAACTCCGTGACTTTCTTGTGGGCCATCTTGTAGGTGGGGCGGAAGCGGGTTTTGTATCTGAGAACGCATCGGGATCATCAGACAGACGTGCGACGCCCTCGTTGTCTACGCTGCGGTCGCGATACGCAAAGGTGTCCAAATACGACGCTTCCGGGTGACCAACCATCAAGTCGTTTGCGTCGCGCTGTCGGAATGCACTTGAAGCGTTTGTTTTTTTTTCTAAATCTCAAAATAGATCCCGTCAATCCGACGTTAGCGAGCGCCCCCGCCCGTCCCTCCCGACAGGCCGCTGCGCTTTCAGACTGGCGTACAAATGCGTAGACTTGCGCGTGGAGGTTCAGAAAAGATTTGCTTTGGAAAGAACTTGTATTTCGGCGGGATTATTTCTCTTCTGAGCTGCGCAACTCTTCGTCCGTTTGCGATGCAGTTTTCCCGTTGGGCGGCCAAGACAAAAAGCTCCCGGGGAAACAATAAATGATGTCACTCCCCCGCAGGCGGGGGTCACGTCTTGCGGAACATCTGGTAAGCTGATTCTGCCTTTCCCCCGCCCCTCCTCCCCCCCAAAATTTGACACCCACAACACCGCTTCCCCTCGCTGAGGACAAATCGAAAACAAAAAACCAAAGCACGACCCTAACTTGGAGGTAGCTCGTCCTCATTAGCATCGGTTGCAGAACTCACGTGACTTGATGGGGGCAGTTGGTGACGTAGGGCGGGCAGGGCGCCGCCACCGGCTCCTGGAAGCTCTCCACGCCGCCCCGCACGGCGCAGCTGATGTTCTTGTGCACCACGTAGGCGCACCGGTTCCTGAGCGACAGCGGCAGACCCGTCATACCTTTTACAAAGCGCGCATCGCGGTACTTTTCAGATGCCAACACGATTACCGACTAGATTTGTACGTGGCCGGGCCTCGCCCAGCAACGCTTGAGGACTTGCGCGTTGCAAGGCCCGACACAACGGCAGGCAACATTTTCTCAGACCCTCGGCGTTCGGGTCGCTGTCTCTTCCGGCTCCTTCGCTCCGGTCGGCGCTATCAAACTAAAACAAGCGGACGTTCCAGTTGCTTCTTCCCTCTTGCCGTGAACTCCCTTCAACAGTTGACTCCAAATTCCATAAGTGGCATTCCTTCCTTCCTTCCTTCCTTCCTTCATTCATTATCCCTCCTGCTTAGCCTCCGTAAAAAGGGATCCAAATCGCATTTCAAAATATTAGGAGTCAAAATCGAAACGGTTGGAGACTGAAAGGCAGCATTGGTTAGCACATCCGCCTCACAGTTCTCCAGTCCTGGGTTGAAATCCGAGCTCGGCTCTTCTAGGTCGAGTTAGCGTGTCCTCCCCGTGACCGTATGGCTTTTCGCCGGGCATTCCGCTTTCCTCCCACATTCCAACATTATAATTGAAGACTCCAACTTGCCCATAGATGTGACTGAGAGCGCAAATGCTGCTTTGTTTGATGCGCCCTGTGATTGGCTATATATATATATATAAGTGAAAATCTACAAATATTGGGAAAATAAACAAATTGTACCAAAAATATGAGAGACAAATAGGCAAATTTACTTGGGGGGGGGGAAAAAAAAGTACAATATTGTTGGGAAAAATGCACAAATTTTCGTGGAAAAAAATCTGAACCAAAAAGAAGAAACCATTGGTGTGAATGTCAGGTCTTTGAGACTCGAGCGCGGCCATGCTTTGACCTATTCCAAGAATATTCTGCTGTGAAGAGTTTTTTTGTTGTTGTTCATACAGTTGCATTTGGATTTTTTTTTTTTAATCTGTTCAAATGATGTATGTGTCTTACTTTAGTCTGCGGTGGTGTTGAAGTGCACCGCATCGTTGTGAGAGCGCTTCCGAACATTCCGACGACCTTTAGCAGCGTATTCAGCACATTTGCGTCGAGCGACTTTATTTCCCCAACTTTCTCGCTGACTTTCGCCTCGCACTGCGCCGAACTCTTCACTTGGCAACGTACAACCGTTTGGGCGTCCACTGTCACACACAAACCCCGACTTGGTTCTTATCTGCTCGGGAGAAACCCATTTTCTGTCTTATCTCGCTAGTCCCGTTCAGGCGATCAAATAAGTGCAAAGAAGAAAGGGGTGAAAATAACTTTTGGGGGGGGGGGGGCATCTGCGCAGCATGTGCGCTCCCAAAATTCGATCAAGCAGCAGAAACGCCTTGACGTGAACTCCTGAGTCGGGGCGAAAACAATCGAGAGAGACTGCAAGTGACTTTACCGACCTGTTTGTGTGTCTGTGCACCACTCCGGCGTGGAAGGGGTCGTAAGAAGGTGGTGGAGGGAAGCCGTGCGTGAAAAAGTTGCAAAAGAGCGTGAAAACCGTCCACCGCAGCGCGCCTCTCGTACCCATTTTCGCATTAAAAAAAAAAACCAACCCACCCACCACCTTTAAAAGCGATCGATCTATTTGGGAGAGTTGTGGCTTGTCTTGGCGCTACCGTGACACGCTCCCTGCGTGGCGTGTGTGCGCGCGCTTTAAAACAAAACAAAAAAGAGGCAAAAAAGTGAAGCGCAACAACTTGACTCCAACTCCTTGGCGGCGTGACGCAAAGGGCTCCACGCCCCCCCTCCCCGACGGAAGGAGAAGGGGCCGACACTGCGGGCGGGGGCGATCGCTGTTCAATCAAGTTGCCGTCTGGGGAACAGTCGCTCGCTCTTCTATTTGATTAGCAGGACTTTTTCACACTTCACACTCACGGTGGGCACACTTGCGCAATGGAACCCCCCACCGTCCCATTAAACCCCTCCCCCTCCTCTCCCAAACAAGCCGTAAAGTGATCATGAAAAAAAATCTGGCTTGACAAGACAATGACGCGTGTGATGAAAAATCGAAATTATTCTGCTTCTTCTTCTTCTTTTTTATTATTGAGTGAAATCGTGACTTGATGGCGTCCAGGCTCCTCGTCTAAAAATCACGTGACATCTTAACTTTGCTCCGCGTGCGACGTAAAAGCAACCGCTCGCTCCGTCGGCGCGGCTTGGAGCTGCTGACGCGCGTCCGGGTCTCATCCGGGCTCCGGCTGCAACCGGGCCGCGTGTGCGGTTTCGACAAGAGCAAAGCGGGCTAAGTGGGCACGGCTTCCAAACGGTTGGAACGTGGTCATCCGTGGGCCAAGCGGGTCCGGGTTCCGAGTGGCCACCCGTGCCTGGGCCTTTATAATATGCGAGGAGAAGCAGCCCGGCTCGAGGCAAACCGTGGCGGCACTGCGGCGGGCATCTCCTCTGCCGAGGAGCGAGGGACGCAACCAACGCGCGAGGCCTTGAGAGCCCGGCGGTGGTTTTGGAAACGGTTGCAAAAGATTCTCCTCCAATTGTGTACATGTGCTCTTCTTTGACGTTGACTCGGTCGCTTGGGTTTGCCATCGTCCCGATGACTTGCTCGATCAACGAGTGCGGTTCGGGGATCCGCAGTCCTTCTCGGATCTTAACCGGGTTGCTTGGGCTTTCCCGTTGTGTCGGGCGGGATATGTCAACTTCGCAATTGTTTGAAAAACATCACAAAGTTTCAGGAAGTGACGCGCTGCTGTTTGTGCAAATTCACCTCCTAGCTCCGAGAAAAATTGCCCCCCCCCCCCTCGCACGAACCATAGATAGCCTTTCTAAAAGAAAACGTTTCATCACACGGCGGTGCCTCGGGTGAACCGCCGCCGCCGGCGGGTGTTGCCTAAGCGAACGTGCACGTGAGGCTTGAATGATGAATCGAGGTCAAATAAAAGCCACGTCGCTTCAAGTCGTCCGCTTTTTGAAAGCATTTCTTCCGCCCCTGACGTTGCTTTCGAGCCAAACACTCAAGCCATCGGGACGCATTTCATCAGCTCCATCGGCTGAAAAGAAGGCGCCGTTCCTTTTGTGTCCAAAAGAGGGCAGCAGGGCAACAATAAAGAACGCACTCACTGTACGGCGCCTCGACTCGCCCCTGCCCCCAAACAAGTGTTGGACGTTTCATTCGTGAGGAAGGCCGAGTGCCAAAAAGTGGGCGTGTCGTCATCATCTTCATTCCTACCATAAGAAAACAAGACAAGCGATCCTTCACTTTGGAAGGACGCCGTGATTTGGGGGCTTAAACCGGGCAGGGTGGCACCCCAGCCGGAAGTCGCCATCATTTCGGAGAGGGTTCGAGACGCCGCTTTGGAATGACGGGCGCCAATCCTTTTTGGCAGGCCATTTAAAATTCGGCCTGCGTGCTGCAAAAGTCACCTTGACTTTTCATGTTCAAGTCAATGCGCGGGTGAGCAGTTGCCAAAAAAAAAAAAAAAAAAAAGTCAGCCATCAAAGGGGTCCGGTGGGGGTGAGGGGGGAGGTGGGGTGAACCTCTCTGCAGGTGTTTATTTCTTAAGGTGGGCTCAAGTATGAAATGCAATAAGTCCCCATCCACAGGGCCGCATCCTCTGCCCGGGGCGGGTTGGGGGGCGCCGGTGGGTGTTCACGTCAAGTATTCGCGTCGCAGATGTCAAATTTCGAGCAGGGGCCGTCAAAGTCATTTTTGTCGCGGGCCGTGTGCTCGCAGAAATGACGATCTCCAGTATTCGAAGACTAGCTGGAGCAAATTTCTTCTTGCACATCACTTTGCGTTAATTAGTAGTCAAGAAGTAGCTCTCAGTTTCGAAAAGGTTGGTGACCCCTGCTTTAGAGCATGCTCCCCCTGCCCCCCCAAAAAAAAAAAACTAAACAGCTCAGCGTATCACGACACTTTGTTCCCGACCATCCCGCGAGCCGACTGACTTCAGTCACAAAGTGAAAAGGTGGTTCGGTCACTACTTTTTCTTTCCCGATTCGACCATCGACTTGGCCATCACCCGATGAATGAGTCGCCGCTTTCAAGCATCGACGCGAGCGTCTTCGGTCCTCACGTCAAAATGGAAACCTTTTTAAGATCAGCCGCCGCCTGCGCGCGCGCGCGCCGAGCAGATTGGTAAAGATGATTTATTGGCCTGTAAAATGTTAATCTGGCTTTGAGCCGCTCTCATGAATTGTTCATTAAGGCCGCGACAGGCTCGTCACCTAAAATGTTAATGAGGTGAGACGACAGCGTCGGGGCCGCCGGGTCTCGTCGAGCCGCTGAGCAAATACCGCACGCGCTCAAATAAGCGGCGCCGGTGGCCGCCGTTCCTCGTGAAAAGAAGGAACGGGCCGATGTGAATTCATCACGTTGGGAGTCAAATGACCAGATTTGCCACTTCTATTTTGGGAAGCGGGCGCCACGGTCGGCTTTCCCGGCGCGCCCTCACGCGATCCGTCGAGCGCTTTCACCGAAACTGCTTTCACAGAATAAAACCAGTGCGACCCCACGTCGTCAGACTCCAACGTTCCGACTGTATTTCGCCTCTGGGCCAAATGAAGACCGCTCGGGCGAGAGGCAAAATATCCTCCGAGATAACGGGAACGGTCGCCATCGATTCATCGTCTTGTGAACACAATGACCCGGACGAAGGAGAAAATTCACAGGCGCTTCATGAAAGCCGACCAAATGAATTGTCTTTATCGCCGAGATGGAAGCGAACGTCTTCGAAGCTCATCGCCCGCCCGTGAGCCGCCTTCACCGATCCGTGCCGAATAGCAAATCTTGACGAGCCATCTTTGATGCCCTTGGCGTCCCACTCCCGCCAAATGTACGTCAGACCGCCCGAGGAGCTCGCTCGACGTTCGTAAAATGATCATCGCGGGCTCCAAAAGTTTGCGCATTGACGCGAACGACGTCTTTGATATTAGGAATCACGCGACGACTGAACGGAGTGGAATCGAATATCACCCGTGTGGAGCGGGCACGCCCGGAATGTTAGCCGCTGGCCGAAAAGGAGCCCACGCAAGACCGCGTGCGGTCCACCGAATGGAACGCCTCGGTGAGATCCCACCAAACGAGGAACGCAGAGACTCCGGTGTCATTGTTCAGGAGGATGTCACTGAAAAGCGGGAGAAGAGCTGAGTCTGCGCTACGCGTCGTCTTCAAACCGCAAAACCTCCACGACGTTACGTTCTTCCAAGTTTCGCCCTTCATTTTACCGGCAGCGAGCACGATTGACCGAGTCGACGATAAGATTTCAAAAGCGGTCCAAAAGGTTTTGCATCCCGCTCGCCCGTCTCACGTTCCATCATTGCCGGATGACGTTTCGTCAAAGGAACTCAACGCCAAGTCGGCGACTTTGCGTCAGGCGCGTTCTTTATCGAGTGTCCTCCACTTTTCACGCAAAATTGGCATCGGCTGCTTTTTTGAACTCTTTCAAGCACCTTTAGTTAAGTAGAAAAAAGAAAAGCAAACTTTTGCTCTTCGCTCCATCAGTCATGATTGCGCCAAGGACTCGGTTGAATCACATGGTGGTGACGTAACCCTCTTAAAGAGTTTGTCCTTTTGTTGCGTGGTAGGAGCAGACACTTTTCCATCTGCGCTTTTGTGTGCAAATGTGTGAAGGAGAAAAGGAGGAGGCCAGAGTCGGATGCCAACGCATTTGTAAAACTTTCCTCTTTCGCATCCATCGCTCGGAGCGTTCGCTGAAGTTGCTTTGAAACGCTCGCCGGAGTAGGTGTCGGACTAAAACATTGCCGTGCGTGATACATCGCTCAGCGATACACCCGATCCCAAGTCCGAGTTTTAGAACAACAATTCATTTGAATGGGACACAAATGTCCCCATTTTTCTTTCTCCATGTCCTGAATGCTGATGCTTTACTACCTCGTTTAGAACATTTCTTGGGCGTAATCGTACGTCTGCAAGTTTGTTGCGCTTTTTTAATCTCGTCTCCCACCCGTTCCCCCTCAATAGAACCTCTTCCGATGACATCCATCGCACGCGCACCTTCACAAGCTTCACTCTAGTCTCTCAGATCGCTCTCTCGAATCATTCAGCTCAGAACTTTTGAATCCAGTCCTTCCCTCGTGACCACGGGGGTTCCCCAGGGCTCCGTCCTCGGTCGTCGCTTATTTCCGTCCCGTCGTGGGCAAGATTTTCCATAAATGTGATCGTATTTCCCACTGTTTGCGGACGGCGCTCAAGTTGACATTTTCTGGTCAAGCAAACTCCTCACTTCACTTCACTTCACTTCACTTCACTTCACGCGCATCTGAAATGAAGTCCTGCTTGGCTTCAAATTTCTTGAAACTTAATCTCATTCTCCATCCAAAGTTGACAGCTTCCCCATCACAAGTGACAGCTCCCAGGTTCTTCGTCTTCCCCCTAATTAAGAGTCCCGGTGTCATCCTCGACAGCCCTCTCTTGTTTCACTTTCACCTAAATATTGTCACCTGCTCTTCTTATTTCCCTTGCAGAATGGATAATCCGTCCGTCCATCCATCCAGCATACTTTCCCCTGCATACTCATTAATAGTGATCCCAAACTTTCTCTGCTTTGTTCTCAAAAGTTTAGCTCCCAACGTTCTTCGGTGCGAACCCCACAAAGAGCCTCATTTTCCTGCCAGGCATCGACGAGACTCTCTGTCAAGTGAACCAGCCAACCAACGTTCGCCAACGCGAGCAATTCCTTCG